CCCAACTGTCTCTCAGAGTCACTGTACCATTTCACATCCTCACTAGCAACGTCTGAGGGCTATAATTTCTCTACATCTCTGCCAGCATTTGATGTTGCCACTGTTTTTGATTTTAGCCATTCTGATAGGTAAGTAATGACGTTTCATTATGGTTTCAATTTGAATGTCCCTAATGCCCTACCTCCATTTTTAAAAGAACCAACTTTAAACAGCTGTAGGCAGCTGACTGGCTGATCTGTTCCTGAATATTAGCTCTGACAGATAAAGGGGAAGAAAACAGTGTGGTAATGACAATGTTTTCCCAAGCTCCTCGAAGCACTTTGACACCATAACCAACGTTTTACTCACACCTGTATAAGTTAACATTTCAACCATGAGAATGACAGGGAAAGGATCATTATCCCATTCCACACGAAGAAACCCAGGCGCAGAGAGGGAGGCTGACTTGTCCAAACTCACAGAACTTGGACTGAGCCCAGTGCTGATCCCTGTCGTTCTCTCACCTGCCTACAAAATGCTCAGGTGAGGCAGGAAAGGGGGACACAGTCTAGGTGCCTTGAGGAGTCAGCCGTCACCAACAGGTTCTTAGCTTTTTGTTGTTATTTTCCCTTCCCTTCCCTTCTTTCCTGAGACAGGGTCTCACTCTGTCAGCCTGGGTAGAGTATCCTGACATCATCACAGCTCACAGCAACCTCAAACTCTTGGGATCAAGTGATCCTCCTGCCTCAGCCTCCCCAGAAGCTGGGACTACAGGTGCCCATCACCACACCCAAATAGTTTTTCTATTTTTAGTAGAGATGGGGGTCTCACTCTTGCTCAGGCTGGTCTCAAACTCCTGAGCAAAAGTGATCCTCCTGCCTTAGACACCCAGAGTGCTGGGATTATATCTGTAAGCCACCATATATCTGTATGCCTGGCCAAAGTATTTTTTGTTTGTAAGTCAAGTTCCTGTTTTAATTAAGCTTTGTGTGGTGTGATGCAAGTACTGTCTTAATCCTACTCAGGGAAGATTTTAGAGAATAATGGGAATTTTTGTTTTTTTTTTTGAGACAGAGTCTCACTTTGTTGCCATTGGTAGAGTGCCGTGTGGTCATAGCTTACAGCAACCTCAAAGTCTTGGGTTTAAGCAATTCTTCTGCCTCAGCCTCCCACGTAGCTGGGACTACAGGTGCCCACCACAATGTCGGACTATTTTTAGAGATGCGATCTCACTCTGGCTCAGGCTGGTCTCGAGCCTGTGAGCTGAGGCAATCCACCTGCCTTGGTCCCGAGTGCTAGGATTACAGGTGTGAGCCATCAGGCCTGGCCCAAGGATAATGGGAATTTAATAGAGAAAAGGAGGGGCACAGAAGAAGCAAGGAAAGGAGACGTAGGACATGATAAAAAGTCCAAAAGCCACAGTGTAAAGAATGGAAGGGAAATTGGATGCTATTTAAGTTTTCCTGGCAGGGATAAAATTAAAGAAAAGACAGTCAGGCCACACATGGCAGGCAAACTCCCAAATCCTCATTTCATCCTCATTTGACTATGAAGCATCAATTATGCAGCGCACTACACACCCTGACAACAACCAACAAGTCTCTCAAGTCTCTTCTGCCTCTTCCCCTCCATAAAATAAAATGGCAAGAAAACGCAATAATGTCCTGTCCTATCCCAAGTCTTAAGAAGCAGTCAGTGGGTGGAAATCAAAACCAAATGGGGGGGGGGTGTTTGAGGGAGGGGTACCCACAATATGTTACATACCGTGACAATAAAGGTTGTTATACATTTTATTTAAATCAAGGCCACTGACCCGGCACAGTGCTCATGCCTGTAATCCTAGTACTCTGGGAGGCTGAAGCAGGTGGATCTCTTGAGCCTCAGCCTGAGACCAGCCTGGGCAAGAGCAACACCCCATCTCTACTAAAAACAGAATATCTAGCCAGGCATGGTGGTAGATGCCTGAAGTCCCAGCTACTTGGGAGGCTGAGGCAGGAGGATCACTTAAGCTCAGGAGTTTGTGAGCTACGATGACACCACAGCACTCTACCATGGGTAACAGAGTGAGACTCTGCTTCAAAAACAAAACAAAACAAAACAGATCAAGGCCACTTTCACTGCTGATCCATCAAGACTCATTTCTTTTTCACCCTGTTTCTCCTAGCAGGGAGGCAGCAGGCTGTCCGGGGCTGGGCCACATGCAGCAGCAGAGGCTCAGGCAGCCTCCTCCTGGGATCCACCGCTTTGTTCTGACCAGGAATGCTTTTCCTCCCTGCTTTTCCTCAGGGAGGCTCAGCTCAGTTGTCAGCTAACAAAGATGGCCTGCCCTGTACCAGACACTGTCACCACACAGCAGATGCAGAGAAGAACCCGGTGGTCTGAGCGAGGTCTGTGCGCACAGTGGTGGCCAGCACCCAACAATCTAGACAGCCAGCTGAAGGCAGGAGAGAAGCAAAAAGGAAAAAAAGAAAACGAAGGGAACCGTGTGATAAAAGCTGAGGAAGAGCAGGCATCAAAGGGGGAGTGACACAAGGGAGGAGGAGGAGGTAGGACAGATATTCAGCGTGCCCCTTTCCCACCACCCCAACACAGGCCAACTGCTCTGCTCGGAGTACCTCTCACGCACTGTCCCTGCAAGGTCCCCTCTGCTCGGCCACAACTACAATGTGATGCGACCTTGCAACACTCCCTGACCTTCTGACTGGCGTAGCTGGGTAATTCTACAGATTAATTCTCGTCTCGTCTCCTCAAAGCAAACTGCAGCACCTGACAGCCAAGTACCTGCCTTAGAACCTTCCAGGCCCACTCATGACACCGGCTCACGTTTGCACCCAAGAGGCGTCTTTGAATACCTGGGGAGTAAATGAACGCAGGAAAGTGCTCGGGCTTGAGGACTAGAGCCGGAGCTCTGCAGCAGTTTGTGACAGTTTGCAAATACGGGCCATAACAATTCGTGTGCTCTGGACAACCTCAAGCCTTCTAGTCAGTGGATGCTTTTAGAGCCAAGAGGTGTGATAAAGACACGACAGGTTGAGGGTATCAGGTACTGGGGGTTGGTGGCTGGGAAGGACAGTATTTCAGGGGATGGAAATGTTCAGTCCTGAATATAGCAGCAGCTACACAACTTAGAGAATGGTGTACTACATGTACTATATTGGGGGCTTATTCCACCACAGTTCACTTACATGTGACTGAAAAAAATTAATTAGCACCCTACTATGTCGCCCTTGGTAGAGTGTCATGGTGTCACAGCCACAGACTCAGATTCTTGGACTTAAGCAATTCTCTCGCCTTAGCCTCCCAAGTAGCTGGGACTACAGGTGCCCGCCACAATGCCTGGCTATTTTTTGGTTGCAGCCATCATT